ATTTTTATATATGGCCCTGTCCTTTAAGCAATGTCAGATGTGTACATAGGCAAAATTATGGTAATTTGACAAAGCTTTTTGCTGGTAAAAATGCTCAAGTTTTAAATATATATGTGACACTGTAAAAATAACTTGCATATGCATGAAAAGATTATTAAGTTGTTCATCAAAAATATCTTGATAGTTGTTACGCTGCGTGCTAGAATATAGGATGTTTTATATTTTCTTCTTTTTTAGTTTTACTTTTATAACTAACATTTATCATTTTATGATTACAAGAATGTTAAAGCTATTTTCGCCTTGAAAAATAAAAAAAACGTTAGAAAAGGTAATTGGAGAATCTTACACAAATTCAAAAGAAAATAACTTGTCGCCTGAGGACACAAGAAAATTTGGGAGTATATTTCATTAGGTAACAGAGCACTTTTGATGACAATATCAAATTTGGCATGTTTTGGGGAAAAAACATACAAATCTGACCAATAAAGTCAGAAGCAGTGGTATTTCTTTCCTTATGTTTTTCAACAAACCATAAAATATGCCGCAGATGTCCTTACTGGCCATGTTCCCATGGGACACAAAGATGACATTGTTATTTTTTCTTCCGTGTAATTCACTGACTTGATAGACTCTTCCTGAACCCTATGTCAGGTACTATTCTAAGGGCTGGGACACAATGATCACAGAGTCTGAGTCTCTCTGCTCTTACAGTGCTTAACAATCTAGTGGAGAAAGCAGTCAAATAAGTAAATTATTAATGGGTATAAAAGAAAAACCTTTTTTGTATCTTTTTTTTAAAAAACTAATCCTCACCTAAAGATATGCCTATTGATTTGAGAAAGACAGGAAGGGAGAGAAAAACATTGATGGGAGAGAAACATCAATTGGTTGCCTCCTGCATGTACCCCAACCCAGAATTGAACCTGCCACATAGATACGTGCCCTGACCAGGAATCAAACCTCCAACCTTTTGGTGTATAGGATGACACTAACCAACTGAGCCACCCAGCCAGAACAAAAAGAAAACTCTTGAATAAGCCCTTATGATATTTGATTATACAGGTTTCAAAATCTACTTATGGGGTGACAAACTTTTCTGTAAAGGGCCAGACTGTAAATACTTTCAGCTTTGTAGGCCACAGTCTCTGTTGCAACCATTCACTCTATCATTACGGTGTGAAAACAGTCACAAACAATACATATACAAGTCAGTGTGGCTATGTTCTAATAAAATTTTATTTACAAAACTAGGCATGGGGTAGAACTAAAACACTGGCCATGGTTTTCTAATCCCTGATCTAGTAGTAAAAAGAGCTAATACTAATTTCAAAGTAAAATCTTAATACACTTTTCCAAAGATAACTGAAAGCATTTAGACTTAGCAGTTCAACTACCTGAGTTGGGATTTTCCCGTTTTCTGAAAACTTAATGACTTACACATATGATTAGTTTATTTCAGTTTTTATAACTTGGAAAAAAACTCTAAGATATAACTAAGTACTCATCCTTAAGAAGATATGCCTAATCAAAAGGCTGCTTCTTTTTGAACTTAGAATCTTATCTGAGTTCTCTTTGTCCTTCTGTCAATAATCTGATGCAGAGTAATCGTGAACAAATTTACTTTTGGTTTCTGTATCTTTAGAAAGATACTGCCATCTATCTCCATAAAAACTAACTACAATAATAAAGCACATCCGCAAAGTTTGAACAGGTAAAAAACAAAACAGTTTTTGAATTTTGCCACTGAGTAAAAGATATTTCCTCTTCTCAAGTCTACTGGGCCTTCGGAGAGAAATAAGTGGAAAATCCTCTGTTGGTAATAAGATCTGGAGTCTAATGTGTGCTACTCACCTTCCGTCTGTTTCCTCAACATAGGCAGCTTAGTTGTCATCTTTTACACAGAGAATAAGCTTTTTCTTTAGTAACCCACTGAAGATCTCAATGTCCTAATGAGTATTTTCTGATGAATAGAATGTAGTTTGCTCTCTTTAAAATACAAAAAAAATTTTTACTTCAAAAGAACCTTATGTTTGTTTGTAAGAGGAAACAGTCAGGCTAAATAAAACTGTAGAAAGAGAAGTCCAATCTTCAGGCCAAGATGGAAGTGTAGGTAGATACCCTTTGCTTCCTTGCATGACCAAAAGAAGGACAACAAATTTAAAAGCAAAAACCACCAGAACTGTCAGAAAATTGAACTGTATGTAAGTCTGAAAACCAAGGAGTTAAAGAAGAAATATTCATCCAGACTGGTAGGAGAGGTGGAAACAGGCAGCCACAGCAGAGAGTATGGGCAATGCAACAGACCTGGCTGGGTAAGGGGGCAGCTGGTGGACTGGGTGGTCCCACATTCCGGTGCTCATAAGTTGGGAGGCAACGGGGGAGCGAGACAGACCACACAACCCAGGGTTCCAGAGTGGGAAACTAAAACCTCAAAACCTCGGGCTGTAACAACCTGTGGGGGTTGCAGCAGCGGGAGAAACTCCCTGCCTCACAGGAGAGTTCATTGGAGAGACCCACAGGGCCCTAGAATGTACACAAACCCACCCACCTGGGAATCAGCACCAGAAGGGCCCAATTACTTGTGGACAGAGGATGAAGTGACTGAAAACAGGAAGAGAGCTAAGCAAGCAGCATTGTTTCTTCTTGGACTCCTTCCCCACATACAGCACCACAGTGCAATGATGTGGTTGCCCTGCCCTGACAAACACCTAAGGCTCTGCCTCTTACTATGTAACAGGCATGCTGAACAAAATATGGCCCAAATGAAAGAACAGACCAAAACTCCAGAAAAAGAACTAAGTGACAAAGGGATAGACAATCTAGCAGATGTAGAGTTCAAAACATTGGTAATCAGGATGCTCACAGAAATGGTTGAGTATGGCCACAAAATAGAGGAAGTGGAGGCTATGCAAACTGAATAAAGAAAAATATACAGGGAACCAACAGTGAAGGGGAAAAAACTGGGACTCAAATCATTGATTTGGAATGAAGGAAGAAATAAACATTCAACCAGACCAGAATGAAGAAGCAAGAATTCAAAAACACAAGGAGAGGCTTAGGAACCTCTAGGATAACTTTACAGGTTCCAACATCCAAATCATAGGGGTGCCAGAAAGAGAAGAGGAGGAGCAAGAAATTGAAAACTTATTTGAAAAAATGGAGAACTTCCCCAATCTGGCAAAGGAAATAGACAAGACACCAAGGAAGTCCAGGAAGCTCAGAGAGTCCCAAAGAAGTTGGACCCAAGGAGGAACACATCAAGGCACATCATGTGGCAGATCCTGGCCTGCAGGATCTGAGTATGTTGTGACTGCTTGTGAACAAATACACATGGACAACAGAAGTCCTGTGGAGAAAAAGGGATGGCGTGGCCACTCTTTGAGAGACAGAGAGGGCGAGAGGGCCAGAGAGCTCAGTCCCTGCCTGGACAGGCTTTTATTGCTTCTCTGGGTACATTATATTGAGGATTGTCCTCATTTACTATACACAGGTTCACTGCAGGGGATTACCTTTTACAGATAACAAAGGAAAGAATGTTGTTAATTACTTCAAACAGTAGGATGTTGCAGAACAAGGGGAAAAGCGGATGAACCCGGTCAAACTCCAAACTTGGGAGGCTTAGCTCAGATTTTAGGAAGTTGCAGTAAGCCCTTGCTGCCTCAATTCAGGGTGAGGCACTTTTACCAAAAGCAAGTCTCATAGCAGTCTAGTTACAGTGCAGGCCTGATTTCCCATGGGAAAACCTATCCGTAGGCGTGGTCCTGTGTGCCATTCGCTCCCTACTGGCTTTCCACGTGAGTGCTGAGCTACATTTCCACGCCATGCGAAGTGGTTCCCTACAACATCATAAGTAAATTACCCAAGATTAAAGATAAGGAGAGAATCTTAAAAGCAGCAAAAGAAAAGGAGATAGTTACCTACAAAGGAGTTCCCATAAGACTATCAGCTGATTTCTCAAAAGAAACCTTATAGGCAAGAAGGGGCTGGAAAAAAGTATTCAAAGTCATGAAAAGCAAGGACCTACATCCAAAATTACTCTATCCAGCTAAACTCTCATTTAGAATGGAAGGGCAGATGAAGTACTTCCCAGATAAGGTCAAGTTAAAGGAGTTCATCATCACCAAGCCCTTATTATATGAAATGTGAAAGGGACTTATCTAAGAGAAAGAAGAACAATAATATAAACAGTAAAATGACAACAAACTCACAACTATCAACAACTGAACCTAAAAAAACAAAAACAAACTAAGCAAACAATAAGAACAGGAACAGAATCACAGAAATGGAGATCACATGGAAGGTTATCAGTGGGAAAGGGGAGGGGGGAGCAAGAAGGGAATAAGAAGCATAAATGGTAGGTACAAAATAGACAGGGAGGTTAAGAATAATTGAGGAAATGGAGGAGCTGAAAAGCTTGTATGTATGACCCACAGACATGAAGTAAGGGGGGGAAGTCTGGTGGGAAGGGGGTGCAGGGTGGAGGGGGGATAAAGGGGAGAAAAAAATGGAACTGTAACAGCATAGTCAATAAAATATACTTAAAAATGTAGAAAGAAAAAGTTAAAGTAAAAAAAATTAAAGTAAAAGCACATCCCCTATATTGCCCTTCACAAAAGAAACTACTGTTTAAAGAGTTTGCTATTTGGTCTTTTAGTTTTTTCTATGTGTCACATGCACATCCATACACAATTGTTGAGTTTATGAGTTTACTTTTATCTTTTAAGCAAAAATGGCATTTTATTTCGTACTTGGTTCTGAAATTTTTTCATTTAATATGAAAGACTTTTCAATTGTTTTCTTAGTTAATCATCTAATAATAGTAGACTTTTTAAAAGCTGAAGTTACAGAAGCAAAATAGTTTTAAGAACACAATGTTAAGTTCCCAGTAAAATGCTCTTTAGTCCACTCAAATTAATTTTAAATACCTTCATGATAGAAAAAGTTCCTTACATTTCCCACTAATGATTCATCTTAAATAGAAAACAAAAATGGTTGCAACATTTATCAATATATTGTAGTTTAATAGAAACATAGATGATACATACAGTTCATCCAAAAGTATTTTTTAATATAAACATCACTTACAAACAAAACCAAATAATGTTGACATTTTAGTTCTAAAAAAAATCATGTTGTTTTAAAACACTAAGATGCCACCTCAATAGTAACCGCTTCACATTTTCCAGTCTCTTGATCTGTGCACGTCACATGTAAAGATCCGTCCCTAAATGAACAAAAAACAACACTCCATAAGCTCATTTTATAAAAACAGAAAGTCCTTAAGAAATTAAAGTAATTAATAAAGAGAATTTTAATTTTTGAAAGAAGAGTATTAGGATAAGGAAGAAACACAATTTCAGTGTCTCTAAATTTAGTATTATATGCTATAATTATGTAGTTTTTAAAAAAAAATTTCCTCCTAGACCACTGATGCAAAAGATGGGGTTCCTTGAAAACCCATGATGATGAAGATTTTAAGTTCAAGACTTTGTTCAAGCTCAAGATGCACCATGCGATTTTCAAGCCCAGGCCAAAACAAACCTTACCCTAATAAATTCAATATTCTCACTAAGTATGGTCTATGAATTGTCCTGAATGTTAATTTTAAAGTGATATATTTGCAAGACATATTGGTAAGGATGCACTGCTGTTAGGGAAATGGTAACAGCTGGATATACGCAATAATTTATTTCCTAGAGATTTTCTGTAGCAACAATAAATTAAACTTATCCTTTCACAGGACAAATAATATGAATTCTGTAAATCTTAGAAAATTATATTTAAAATTAATAAAAATTATATCCCAACTTGCATGAAACAGTTTTCTGGTTGACTACCCCCAAAAAATTAGAGTTCATAAAAAATTTAGAATACAAATAACCTGAAATATACTTTTCTTTGTAAAATACAGTAGTTCTTCAGGGCAAAAAAGAAATGTAAATCACTAATAAAATATTTAAGTTTTGACTAAACGATTTCCCCAGAAGGACAATGGCTGAAGAATCAATAAACTAACAAAAAAGGTCAAGTCTCAAAGTGCATTTTCTTAGCATCAGAAGTAGTTTAATTTTGTACCTTTTCATAGTAAGAACAGCTAATATGTCATGTAATCCATTTTCTTTTTTATTTAAATCCTGGAGTATAACCTGTTTATATAGAAACAACACAAAGAGGATTCAGTACTTTGACATATTAATAAACAGATGCATCAATTATTTCAATGGACTAAATCCTACTTTTTACTGAAATAAAACTTTTAAAATAGGCAGTTTTCAATTTTCCTATCAGTTATCAAAATTCAGAAAATTAAGCACTCTTAACTATGAAATAAAAAATCTCCTCCAGGAGGGCACAGAAGATAACTAATATATTTGTCCCTCTTAAATGCAATGTCCTAGATTAAAATGATTGCAGACTACTTTTCTTTTTAGTAATCAAGCCATACCAGTAACATGCAAATTATATTTTGGTAAGCCTTCTATATATACTTTTAATAATGTAAATGTTTTAAATTGGAAAACACAGTTGAAAGAAATCTGTGGCAAATTCTTTTGTACAACTAAGATTACATTTATAAGTTAGAGATGCTAATGACTTTACCATAAAATTCCTCAGTTTCCTAAAGACAGGTAAACTAATAAACCAAGTTTGGAAGTAACTTTTCAAATTCTGTCATTATCAAGTTTTATGACCTTAAGCATGGCACTAAGAATCTTGCTTTACTCATTTGTAAAAGGAGGAGGTTTGAACAGATGGCTTCTCTAAAAGATTCTCTCTCCAAATTCAGTGTGTGTGGCTCTTTTCCTTCTGACATCTGTGTGTATGTGTATGTATACATATGTGTATATCTGGGTGTGTGTGTGTATATATTATATAAAATGCTGATAGTAGTTGCAGAGTCTAACAGTAGTATATGAAGAGAAAAGGTGGTAAGCGTATGAGAACGAGAAGCTAAGGGAGTAGCAAGACTGCCACCTGAGGTTAGAAATGTGGTACACAGGCAAGTGCTTAGATAGTAATACACAACAAAAATATCTGGATGAGCTTTTGAAACCTTTACCAGTTGAAGCTGCCCTTCTCCAGTAGATTTTAAGATGTTAAGCCTGAGATGGAGTCCAGACAAGTTATATATGTGTGTTTTCATTATTCTTTTGTTGAAACCAGAAAATAGTTATAAAGCTGAAGATATACATTCTCTTGTCACCTACATTTGTTTTATTTTTAGATAAAAATAATTCATGCTCATGTCCTGTGATGTTTATAAAAAATTCAGTATAGGTGTTAAAAAGTAAGCAAACAAACAAAAAAAAACGAAACAAAATATCCCCAAACCCTCTTGGTATCTTTAAAACTACCCATGTTAAGCTTCCTTAACAGTTCAAATACCTATAGCTATCTACATACTTCCACACACCTACCCAAACACCTCTTCCCTCCCATGGACCCGTGCCCTCAATCTTTTTAATGAAATACAAATGATGTCCCACAATAAATATGGTCCTGTAGTCGTTGTGTCTGCATATTTTCATGTAACTATATTTCTTGGGCATGTTCTAAGCAAATAACATTGCTCCTCTCACTCTTTTAAAATGATTAGAGGGGACTATATAGTATGAAATGTGTAGTATTTTGAAAAGCAAACTTACCCTGGATCAGAAGCAACATGGTTTAATAGAAACAACATGGGCCCAAGTATAAAACCAACCTGGGGACAAATCAGCTCAACCAAGAAAATAAGGTATTTACTACCATAAGCCTGTTTCCTAATCATCTACAAAATGCACATAATGTCTACCTCACAGCATTTTGGGAATATGTAAAGTGTGTAGTACAGCACCTGGCATTTAGGAAACAAAAAGTAACATTTCCCCTGCCACTCACTGTATCACCAAGGAGGGTCAAGGACTCAAACAGAAAGAATATAAATCCAAATTGTATTGTGTTTTTATTTTCCTGACACTTTCAAATGAAAATTGTCTATTTCTTCTTTCTTACAGAAACGAGTTAAGTGGAAGTAATCCATTCATACAAATGTGTTAGATGTCTTATATATATTCTATTAATTAATATTAAACTGAATTTAATCCATAAAGAAAAGCCAGTTTCATGTGACTAATTCATAATCCAATTTTCATATTCACCTGTGCAAACTTGTTTTCCTCCTTTGCAGAGTTTTTCCCCTCAGACTCATACAGTTCAAGGCACACTGAAGATATACTTCCAGGGGCTTGTAATGTGTGTTGTCTTCGAGCTGGCAAAGGAGTCCCTGATGGAAACAGTACTGTAAAACTGTTGGCTCCTGATTCATCAACTCCCTAATAAGCAGGAAAATAATATGCATATCCCTTGATATTTATTGTTACAATGATAAAAACCCATTCCTTTAAAAATGTAATATATATTTCTTGCTGATAATTGTTGCAAACTATAGACAGACGAGAGTAAAACAGAAATAATCCTTAATCCCAACCCACTTTAAAAATAAATTAAAACAGCCCTGGCTGAGTGGCTCAGGTGGTTGGAGCATTGTCCTAGATGCCAAAAGGTTTCAGGTTCGATCCCAGTCCAGGTGCATATGACAGGCAACCGATCCATATTTCTCTCTCACATTGATGTTTTTCTCTCTCTCTTCCCTCACCCTCTCTAAGTCAATGAATATATCCTTGGGTAAGGATTAAAAAAAACGGAAACATATCTCTCTACCTGTATTAGAAATTTATGATTAAAATTACAGTAATTAAGAATTAATATGGTACATAAATACTAACTTAAATATATAAAACCCATTAAAAGTTAAATTATAAATACAAATTTAAAATTATTACCAGTACATAAAGTTTTATTGTGAAAACATGGTATGAACGAAAACTTATGGCGTCAAATTTATATCACTTTTACAGAAAAGGAAAGCTAAATGTACCTTAACTAAGATATCTTTGGCTGAACACTCTATCTTCAGAGAGTCTTCCACTAAAAGGTTTTCTTTCCCAATAAGTATTCCTGCTTCTATAGCTGCACCAATAGGGATAACCTCATCAGGAAGGATAGAATTTAGAAGCTCGACCGCTGGGAAAAGATCTTTAATCAGTTGCTGTAGCCTTGGAATTCGAGAAGACCCTCCACAAAGGACAACCTAAAAAATAAAAATAATTTTCAGTTTCTTACTTTTAGAACACTTTTTCTCAAAAATAAGTGTAATAGGCTGATAGCAGGCTGACCCATCTTTTATCATATGTAATGGTATAAGAAACCATATTTTAATATTATTTTGTTATACTTGCCAAATTCATATATAAATCATTGTCACTGAAAAACTTTATGCAAAACCTCTCCTTTTTGAGTTTGTCCCTTAAATCACCTGGCTCTGATGGTGAATAGGCTGGCGTTCACAGGACTGTAGCAAACTAACACTTAAATCCAGGGAAGAAGCATCTCATTCCCCAAGGCACTACACCTGGGCTCACCCACAGAGGGACAAAAAGGCCCATTTCCCAGTTCCTCCCCAGAAGCAGTCTGACCAGTACTATCATAGCTGCTGCCTGAGGGTCTGGCTTCTAATCAGCCTGTAATGAGATGTTGATTGGGATGGTCTTGGCACAGCCTCAACTACTAAGGGCTACATAAGATGGTAGCTTAGATGTCTACAAAGGTTTGAGAGGCAAGAAGGAATGAATATGTTCCAAACAAAATAACAAGATATATCTCCAAAAACTGATCTTAATGAAACAATGATAAGCAATTTACCTGGTAGAGAGTTCAAAATAACAGAAACTAAGACGTTCACTGAAGTGAGGAGAGTAATGCATGAATAAAGTGAGAATTTCAGCAAAGAGGTAGAAAATATAAAGGAATACTAAACTGAAATTATAGAGCTGAAGATTATAATACTTGGACTAAAAAGTTCAACAGGAGGGTTCAACAGTACAGTAGATCAAGCAAAACAAAGGATCACTAAACTCAAATATAGGGCAAAGGAATTCATCCATTTAGAGAAGCAAAAAAAAGTAAAAAAGAATAAATACAGCTTAAGGGGATTATGGGACAAGAATAAATGGACCAATATGTACGTTAAAGGGGTCTCAAAAGGAAGAGAGAGAAAAGAGCAGAAAGCTGATTAAAAAGAAATAATGACCAAAAGCTTCCTCCATAAACTGGGGAATAAAACGTACATCCAAATCCAGTAAGCCCAAAAAGTACCGAAATAAGATGAATCTAAAGAGACCCAAGTTGATGCACATTATAACATTATCAAAAGTCAAAGAAGAATCTTAAAAGCAGTGAGAGAAAAGCAACTTTATATATACAAGGGAACCCCATAAGACTATTAAGTAGGTATGTTAGCAGAAATCTTGCAAGGTATATGGGAGATATTCAAAGTGCTGCAAGGAAAAAAAAATTGTCAGCCAAGAACCCTATACCCCGCAGCGGTCCTTTAGAACTGAAAGAGAAAGTTTTTATACTCAAATAAAAGCTGGAAGAGTTCATCACCACTAGACAGACTATAAAAAAGTGTTAAAGGGAGTTCTTCAAGTTTAACAAAAATGCTAATTAGTAACATGAGAACATAAGAAAGTATAAAACTAACTGATAAAGGTAAATATATAAATTCAGAGTAGTCTAATATTGTAATGTGGTGGTAAGTCATAACTCTAGTATAAAGATTAAAAGACAAAAGCATTAAAAATAACTATAATAATTTGTTAATGGATATACAATATAAAAAGATATAAATTGTGACATCAAAAACATAAAATGTGCCCTCAGTAGTGTGGCTCTGGGGGTTGGGCATCAGGCTGCAAACTGAAAGGTGGCTGGTTCAATTCCCAGTCAGAGCACATGCTTGCGTTGTGGGCCAGGGCTCTGGATCAATGCTTCTCTCATGCATTAATGTTTATCTCCCTCTTTCCCCCTCCCTTCCCCTCTAAAAATAAATAAAATCTTTTTTAAAAAAACCATAAAATGTGGCAGGGGAGAGTGAAAAATGTAGAGATTTTTGTATGTTCAAAGTTATCAGCTTAAAATAGGCTATTATAATTTTAAGATGATTTATGTAAGCTTGTGGTAACCACAAAACAAAAACCTATAGCAGATAAATAAAAAATAAAAAGAAAGGAAATCAAAACACATCATTGCAAAAAAAAAAATCATCAAATCACCAAAGGCAAAGAAGACACAAATTAACCAAACAACAGGCAGAAAACAATGAACAAAATGACATTACTAAGTTCATACCTATCAAAAATCACTTTAAATTATTTCTATACACTAACAACAAATTAATGGAAAGAGAAATTAGGAAGACAATCTCATTTATAGTAACATCTAAAAGGATAAAGTACTTAGAAGAAAAATCATCAATAATCACTTCTTATTTCACAGTCTTTTTATGGATGTTCTCAAAGGTCAGTATGTTGGAGAAGAGGATCAACTGATGAAAAGTAGGCCTCGTTAACATTAGGTGTGAAATGACAGGGGTATCATATCTCATGTCAGGGTATGAGGAATACAGCTGAGGGATTCAAAGATAAAACAGACAAGCATGTGCCCTTGCCCGGTGGCTCAGATGGTTGGCGTGTTGTCCTGTGTACATCAAGAGGCTGTGAGTTCAATTTCTGGTCAGCACACATAGTAGGTTGTGGATTCGACCCCCAGATTGGGGCATATAAAGGAGGCAACAAATGGATGTTTCTCTCACATCAATGTTTCTCTCTTTGAAAAAACCAATAAACATATCCTCGGGTGAGGATTAAGAAAAAAGAAAAGTATGTTTGCCATGGCCAAGTTCCCTAAAAGGTCTGTTTTGAAGGTTAGAAAAAAGAACTCTTCTCTAAAATCTTGATCCCACATAAATACCAGGAGGTGAAAAATGTAGACTATGGCCCTGGCTGGTCTGGCTTGGCGGTTCAGTGGATTGAGTGCAGGCCTGTGAACCAAAGGGTTGCCAGTTTGATTCCCAGTCAGGGAATGTGCCTGGGTTGTGGGCCAGGACCCCTGTAGGGTGTGTGCAAGAGGCAACCACACAGTGAAGTTTCTCTCCTTCTCTCCCTCCCTTCCTCTCTCTCTAAAAAAATAAAGAAAACCTTTAAATAAACCCAGTGTGAATTTTTTTTTAAAGAAGAATGTAGATTATGTCTTTTCAAATTTTTCATATTTGACATGGAAAAGCTTTGTTACTATGAACCACCTCCCTGAAAACCTTAGCTTTTGACATTTTTATTTAAAAGGGTAAAAAAACGTATGAATAATGTGTTACTATTAATGATGATAGTAACCATCAAGTTTTAAATAAATTCTTTAAGCATCTAGTCTGTAGTATGAGATTCTTTTTGAAAACTTACATTTTAATAGGAAATACATCTTTCAAACAAAAATAACTATTTTAATGCCTTTTCAACTATAATTTTCACAGTAATTTAATAAAATAAACTGCTATTAAAAAATCAAAGCACCTTATCTACTTGGGTATTTAAAAACATGAATCTAAAACAATGAGGAAAATAAAAAATACTAGAGGTTATTCTGAAAATAAAGAAAATAAAAATCTATCAAAGTTAGTGGAATAATACTAACTAAGGCTATTAATAATTAAAACTACAGTTAATTTTTTATTAGGGAAAAAATTAAATGAAATAAATGAGTTAGCATTCAATATAAGAGTTTAGAAAAATAATGAAAGTGTCCTGGGAAGGCTGGAAAAGAAAAGCAGAACTAGACCAATCAGAATAGAGAAAGACACAACTTGAAAAAAAATCTCAGAATGTTTTTTGTGGGGTTAGTGGCAGAAGTTGGAGTAAATAACAAAACCATTACCTATCAATCAGGGAAGGAAGAAAAGAAAAAAAAATCTCAGAAAAAAAAGAGAAAAATTGGATTGTTTTAATTCAAGTAACTTTTTTTTATACTTTTAAGTTTTAGTATAAAAAAATACATAAAATTAAAAATTATGCCCTGACTGGTGTGGCTCATTGTGTTGGGTGCCATGGGTTAAATTCCCAGTTGGGCACACGCCCAGGTTGTGGGCCAGGTTCCAGGTGGGGGCGTGTCAGAGGCAACAGATCAATATTTCTCTCTCACATCAATGTTCCTCTCCCTCTGTCCTTCTCCCTTCTCATCTCTCTGAAAATAAATAAAATCTTTTTAAAAATTACAAGGACATTATGCAAAGTTGTATGTTAAAAATTCAAGAAATCATTATGAAATAGGTCTATAAAATACTCAAATTCAAAATTGAAGCAATAAAGAGAAATTAGGAAAATTATAAAAACACTTCAGAAACTAGTTTCAGATAAAATCTGTTTATAGATAAATTCTTTAGAATTCTTGAGGAACAGAGAATATCCATGTATTATATACTAATCTGGAATACTTAAAATGATGAAAAGGTATTCAATTCATTTTATAAGCACCTGTAGCCCAGGAACAAAACTAAAAACAAACATCAAAAAACAAAACCCTCTGGACCAGAGGGTGCAAAGTAGCAACTTGCAAATTACATCAGGTAAGACACGTTTTATCTCTCCACACAATGTTTTAAAAAGTTCTGTATTAGTTACTAACATTTACACATTACAGTTGTTTTAATTAAGAGTCCTTATTTTGGGCGTCTCTTAAAAAGCCAAAGGTTCCAATAGCACTGGCTTGCTTTCCTGAAAGGTAGCCATCGGCAGGTGGGCAGCAGCTGCCCCCTTGGACTAGGAGCTCCTATCTGTAGGTGGCACACCCACCACGACCTGTTGTGGCTCTCACACCAGCTAGTGGGCATTTGCCATTAACAATCAACACTTGTGCTCATGCTTTCTTACAACAGAGTTCAATGTGAAACTTTTAAAGCTCTTTAAACCCATCTCTCAATCTAGTAGGAGAATGGAAGACCAAGAAGAGTGGGTGTTCCAAGAAAAATAGTAGGGAGCATACTTTTTTGCAGAATGGAATGGTCAGGTAACTCAGCTGTACTATATGGCTGCTAGCCAGCCTAATTGTGTATTTTTCTATGTGTGGAAAGAAATTGACTTTTTAAAATTCATCTGTAGGAATAACATTAGCATAGATATAATTCAAATGCTGTTTTTCTGACATTATATTCCACATAAACATTACTAATATTTCTGTCCCTATAAAGATTGATTTGTTCATTCCTAGAGATTTTACACAAGAACTTGAAAAATAATTCTAAAGCTCTCTGGAAAAAAAGTATGCATAAAGAGAATTTTTAAAAACCGCAATGTTAATAATGAAGGTTTATACCTACTCAGAAAATAAACTACTTTTTGATGAGCAATTTGGTAATAAATACTAAATCTTAAAATTTCAGAATTAACTCTCAAATCTAGTTTTCAGGAAAGCAAGAATGTTCACAAAGGCACAAAGACTGCTGTTTATAAAACCAAAATAACCTACACAACCAACATCAAGAATTAGTTTTATAAATTATGATACATCCATGCAATAAAATACTATGCATTATTAAAATTGCAGTTGTAGCCCTGGTCGGTGTGGCTCAGAGGTTGGAGTCCATCCCTGTATCTGAAAGGTTGTGGTTCGATTCCTGGTCACGACACATGCCTAGGTTGCCAGTTCATCCCCAGTCCAAATGTGTGTGACCTCTGTCTTGGCACAGAATCCCAGTCTGGGTGAGTGCAAAGAAAGTCAATCGATGCTTCTCTCACATTTATGTTTCTCTCTCTCCCTTCCTCTTTCTCTTTAAAAAAGCTAATGAAAATGTCCTCGGGTGAGGATAAAAAGGATGCAGTTGTAGAGCCTGGGAACTTGGTTAAAATGGAGGGAGGGATTGATTATATTAATTCATCGATATGCCCTTCCATAAGTCAACTAAACTGAGAGTAAAGGGATTTAAGAAGATATAAATGGAAGAAAGATCTTGAGTTTGACATTTTAACACATTTTAGAAGCTAGAAAAAAAAAGATGTAATTGTATTAAGGCAAATGAAGTTTCACATAACCAAAGAGAAAAAGCAAAGTGGTTTGACTCATAAAACCCCAGAGTGGCTGGGCACTCAGAAGCACCAAGCCTATACAAAGCAAGGGTGAAGCATGGAAGCGACAGCATGAAAGCCTGGTATAGAGTTACTGAACCCTCACCCTTCCCTTAACCCAGAGAGGTGGCCACCAGCACCTTCTCCCACTCAGAGACCAAGGTCTGGACCACAGAACTATGGGACTTGGGTACAAAGTGGGCATGATGCTGAAAACAAGGGGAATGAGGGAAAGTCTGCATTTTAAAGAGGAGGAACCCTGAAGCTTCCTGTCCTCAAAAGGCCAGACACCAGACATGTTCTTTCAAGCATGAGATCAGAGATTCCTCTGGAAAAACCAAATACTCCGAAGACTAGACTTCCAGATACTAAAATAAGAAAGGCAAGAGGCATAAGAATAGAGAGAGAGCATGGGTTATGGAGGCATACTGCCTGAGTTTCAACTCTAGCACCACTGCTTATATGTCAGCATTAGAACTTGAAGCAAGTACTCAATCTCTTTGGAAACCTCTTACTTCCCCATTTGAAAATGAAGATAATAGTGCCTACCTTTTGGTGCTATTGTAAGGATAAAATGTTTTATGGACTTTAAGTTCAACCATTCCCTCCTCCTTCTCTGTAAGATTAGACGTCCCTGCCCCTGGCTACTGCCCTGACTTTGAACACCTCTTTGTAGTTAAGTTAGGTTGCCCAGCCCTACTGTCAGGCCCAGCCTCTGTCTAGCTTTGGACAACTGAATGTGAATACACTCAAGTGCACATAGCTAAGCAGAGGATTTAAAACCTGTGCAAGTTCTGTACGCTTCCTTCCTCTTTTCCCTCTGCCATGGGAACTGCATGTCTCAGTTAGCTGCTCCGTGAGCCTGGGTCATAGAATGAGAAAAATCATGTCACTGGACCTACAGATACCTTCGGCTGCCCACAGGCACCACAAAGGAGAAAAAACTGTTTTGTGTAGAAAACCACTGAGATTTGGGGCCTATTTGTTATTGGCAACAAACTAGAGACAACTCTACTTTTTTAAGTTCTCAAAGGCCTGTATTTTAGAAATATCTGGAGGTGAATCTTTAACAACATCTTAAATCCTAACAATGTATTTGCCTTCTATTCAAACAATTGAGAACTGTACCATTTATGATATATCTAAATGTCAGGGCTCTATGACCAGTTAATGAAGAGAACTTACATTAATTGGTCACCCATAATATGCCATATACAATATTTCATTTTTTTTCTTCATAACAACCCTCCAGAACAAGTTATACTTATAATACTTACTCGTGTTATTACCCTCCTAGTAAAAAGAGACAAATAAGACTTGGGAAATAAATGATTTGCCCACTCTGCAACTATTAGCACTGCGAGTCTTCTGATTCAGGTGTGTCTGTCTTCAAGCCCATTCATTTCCCACCACCATTTTGCTACCATTTTATACTCTTGTCTTATTCTTCATAATCCACCCCCTAACTTTCAAGTACATAGCACAAAGCTTGACATATTATAAATGATCAAACAATTATTTATTGAATTGCAAAGAAAAAAAATGACTTTCATCATATAGCAACACCAAAATAGTTAAAATATATAGAAACTTTTAAACTACAAATTAAAAGAAAACAGTATTAAATATTTGTCATATACCTGAACAAAGATGGAATTTATAAACTTAGAAGCAGCTGAAGAAGTCTCTTGGTCTATTTAACAGACCAAGAGATTTAAATAAATAAATACATGAAACTTCAGTATGCCAAATACCCTTCTCCCTAATAAGACCAGAATTAAACAGTAAACTACATGCTTCAAAAGATCACAGTAAATAACAGCTAATATTCTGATAAAGCATCTGCACAAGAAATTTTTTAAAATATAGATTTAAACAATTCAATAGGCAAAGAATATGAAATATTTACACACATTATATGAACATTAAAAATCCTTTAATAATCAATAAAATATCAAGTAAAAATCTTTTTTTTCAACTCTTCAATGGAAAATTCATCTTTAAATGATAAAACTCAGAGCCAGTAAAGTAATGTATATTCATATTTCTGATAGGAGTGTTAGTTAATTTAACATTTTTGGAAAGTAACCGAAAGTAAAATATATAATCTTAAGCTATTTAAACTCTTTGACCCAAAAATCTTACAGTGGGAATCTACTCTAAGGAACAGCCCTAAACTTGGTAAAGGCCGAAACGCAAAGATGGGCATCACTGTTCTGAGGGCAGAAAAGACCCAGTGTAGGTGTCCACAATGTAAAAATGAAATCATTTACATTGCCTTTTCTTTTCTAGGATATTAAGAATCTATTTAATATTGAGTTGATGAAGACTATACAGAAATACAGGGAAAGAAATTGGTTATATTATATGAAGAAAATAAAATTCAAAATTGTACATGCAAATTAAATTAGTTAGAAATATTCTAAAATATAACACTTGTTGCCTTTTGGTATTTCTGAATTTTCTTATATGAATACTTACAATTTTAATAATGAAATTTTAAAATTTACATATACTTTAAAATGAATGTAAATATCCTTAATGAAAAACAAAAAATTAAACATTTGAATGTTTTTGAAGTTCTCAAAATGTTTTCTTATGCCAGTAGAGAGGAGCAGTGTGGTATGCTGGTTATGGGTAGACTTGGGAACTACACAGAGTTAAATCCTGGGTTTACCACTTAACCACATGCTCTCCAAGAAATTATTTATCTCTTTGCACCTTGGTGCCTTCATTTATAAAATGGGAATAAATAAGAGCACATACCTCATGAGTTGTTGGTGAGCATTCAATGGGTAAATCCAAGTAAAACACTTAGAAATAGTGTTTGACACATGGCAAACATGCAAATACCTGTCAGTCATTGCTTACATATTAAAAAATATACTGAAAAGGAACTATTCTTTTTTTGCTAGGAAACTCATAAATGTCACTAGAGTCATCAATCAAAATTTAATCAATTTTCCTTACTCATTAACACGAGATTGGAAATATTTAAATTCATAAAAATATTCTTTCAGTACCAAGGGGCTATTTCCTAAATTCCAAGTCTGAAATTAGTCTTAAAATAAATAAGAAAAATATAAAAGTATTACCTTGTTGATATCATCAGCTGTAAATCCACTTTGTTGTAAGAGTGCTCTGATTGCTTCTATACATTTATTAAAAAGTGGAGAACAGAGAAGTTCAAATCTTGCTCTGTACACACACATACACAGGAGAAAAAGACAAAGAAAAAAGGCCTATTCAATTAAACAAGACATCTTTTTCTTATGAAGAGTAATGCCAAAACCTAATGTGACAGTTCTCTTAAGAATAGGTTTATGATCAGAACAGGTTATTTAGCACCTAGCAATGTAATAAATAACATGGGGGGAGAACATCTAAGTTATCTTAAAATATAAAAAGACATTTTACATTTTAAAATGTAAAAAGACATTTTAAGATCAAATCCAGGTTGGAGATTCTTACCAATGGCCTACTTAGAGGTTTTATAAAACAAAAATGAAGACTCAATGTATGACAGTCCCAATAATAAATCTATTGATCTAAATCAAACCATCATTTAGAAGTGTTTGCTATATTTACATGTTAAAGTTTTAAAAGTTATTTCTATTTTTCTTTAAAATCTGAAACTATATTATACCTAAATTTAGCTCTTTGGCACCATCTGGGAAACATGAATGCTAGTATATAATTTTTTTAATTATATTTTATTGATTATGCTATTACAGTTGTCCTGATTATTCCCTATTGTGCCCCTTTCGCCCAGCACCAACCCCCTCATGTAATCCCCACACCTTGTTCATAGCCATGGGTAATAAGTTCTTTGGCTACTCCATTTCCTATACTGTACTTTACATTCCCATGGCTATTCTGTAACCACCTATTTGTACTTCTTTTTTTTATATAATTTAGAACATTTATTTATTTTTAATATAGTTATTGATTATGCTATTACAGTTGTCCCATTTCCCTTCACTCCCCTCCACGCTGCAAGCCTCTCCCATCCACATTTCCCCCTTTAGTTCATGTCCATGTGTCATACTTATACGTTCTTTAAGCTTCTACATTTCCCATACTATTCTTGCCCTCCCCCTGTCTATTTTCTACCTACCATCTATGCTACTTATTCGCTATACCTTTCCCCCCTCTCTCCTCCTCCCACTCCCATGTTGCCAAACCTCCATTTCTGTGGTTCTGTTCCTGTTCTAGTTGTTTGCTTAGTTTGTTTTTGTTTTAGGTGTGGTTGACAATAATTGTGAGTTTGCTGTCCTATTACTGTACATGTTTTTTATCTTCTTTTTCTTAGATAAATCCCTTTCACATTTCATATATTAAGGGCTTGGTGATGATGAACTCCTTTAACTTGACCTTATCTGACAAGCACTTTATCTGCCCTTCCATTCTAAATGATGGCTTTGCTGGATAGAGCAATCTTGGATGTAGGTCCTTGCATTTCATGACTTGAAATACTTCTTTCCAGCCCCTTCTTGCCTGCAAGGTCTCTTTTGAGAAATCAGCTGACAGTCTGATGGGAACTCCTTTGTAGGTTACTGTCTCCTTATCTCTTGCTGCTTCTAGGATTCTCTCTTTCATTTTAATCTTGGCTAATGTAATTATGATGTGTCTTGGTGTGTTCCTCCTTGGGTCCAACTTTTTTGGGACTCTGAGCTTCCTGGACTTCCTGAAAGTCTATTTGCTTTGCCAGAATGGGAAAGTTCTCCTTTATTATTTATTCAAATAACTTTTCCACTGTTGCTCTTCCTCTTCTCTTTCTGGTACCCCTATAATTCCGATGTTGGAACGTTTAAAGATGTCTTGGAGATTCCTAAGCCTCTCATTTTTTTGAATTCTTGTTTCTTCATTCTTTTCTGATTGGATGTTTCTTGCTTCCTTCTGGTCCACTCCATTGATTTGAGTCCCAGTCTCTTTCCCATCACTATTAGTTCCCTGTACATTTTCCTTTATTTCACTTAGTGTAGGCTTCATTTTTTCATCTAATTTGCTACCAAATTCAACCAATTCTGTGAGCATCCTGATCACCAGTGTTGTGAACTGTGCATATGATAGGTTGGCTACCTCTTCGTCACTTAGTTATATTTTTTCTGGGGCTTTGAATTGTTCTTTCATTTGAGTGCTTTTTTTTTGTCTTGATGCGCCCATTAGTAGTGAGGGGTGGAGACTTAGGTGTTCAGCTGGGCGGGGCAACCCAGTGAGTTGCTGGGCTGTGACACAGAGTGTGGGGGAGGGGTTGGAGAGGGACCTATGACACTTGCTCTCCTCTCTGCTGGATTCCACTCCCTCCCGCCACTTCCCCCCAGCAAACTGGGCCCTTCTGGTGCTGATTCCCAGGTGGGTGGGTTTGTGCACATTCTAGGACCCTGTGGGTCTCTCCAAGGAACTCTCCTGTGAGGCTGGGAGTCTCTCCCAGAACGTCAACCCCCACAGGTGTTTTCAATTGGTGTTTTGAGGCTTTATTTCCCCGCACTGGGACCCTGGGTTACGCAGTTTGACTCGTTCCCCAGTTTCACCCAGTTTATCTGGGCGTGAATGTGGAAATGCCTGGTCTGACAGCCACCTTATACGCAGTGCCTGGCTTCACAATAGCTGCCTCACAGCTTCTGTCCGGTAGCCATTGCTTTGCCGTGAGTCCTCTCCACCCAGCTGTCTGACTCCGCCCCTCCTACCAGTATGGATGAACGTTTCTTGTTTAACTCCTTGGTTGTTGGACTTCCATACAGTTCAATTTTCTGTCAGTAGTGGTTGTTTTTTTTTTTGTTTCTAAATTTTTGTTGTCTTTATTTTGGTTGTGCGAGGAGGCACAGTATGTCTACCTACCCTATTTGTATTTCTTAGTCCCCTCACCGCTTCACCCACTGTCCCCCACTCCCCCTCCCATCTGGCAACCATCAAAATGCTCTCTGTATTCATGACTGTGTCTGTTCTTCTTGTTTGCTTAGTTTGTTTTTTAGATTCAATTGCTGATAGATTTGTATTTTTTGCCATTTTACTGTTCATAGTTTTCATCTTATTTTTCTTAAATAAGCCCCTGCTGGTATATAATTTTAAGAACAATTTATGTTCATGAAAAATGTACTCCCCAATTTTATACTGAACTTCTTAGATGGAGACTGATTTATAAATGTATTTGTGCTATCTCTAGATATTGAAATATATCTTGTGGTTACAATCTTTGTGATAAAGGCAAAATTTCCTAACAAAAAATTACAAATTCTAATACATTTTTAATAACCGATATTAACAAGCCAACATATACTGAGTACCTGGAAAAACTTAGCACTAAGTCAGAAATTCTGAAAATAAAAAAATAAATAAATAAAGACACCCTGCCCACCTTTCACCTTTTGGGTTATAGCTTAAAATCTCTCTTAAGAGATCTAGAGCAGTCTAACAGAATTTTCTGTGAGCTTGAGCCATATCAGACTATTGAGCACTGGACCTAAGTGATCCTGAGAAATTTTTGGTTACCTTTTCTCAGTAATTTAAATTTAAATTGCCACAAGTGGCTAGTGGCTATGGTATTGGATACAAAGAGCCGGAGTCTTCAGAACAGCCCAGGGCGAGTGTGGAAGCTAAACTATAATGGCCAGATGAAGAAAGAATTTAATAAAACATAGTGTAATCCTAAAAATAATATAATGCTATAATTCTGGACATTTTCACTATGTTTCCAAGTCACCTGTTAGAAGTTCGGGAAGTTTAAATAGTTTAATTAATGGTAGCTGTTATTATTGTTAGTAATATGCAATGTAAAATAAGGCAACATCCTCCCTGTGGACTTTCTGGGTAAAAGTACAGTAACTTGTAACCAAAAGACCTGAGCATTAAAAACAATTTTATGCACATTATATGTACATTACACCTGTGATTACTGAATGTCATAAAGCTACTAAAATTTAAAATGTTGATGATGGATGACAGAACAAATGAACCCAAGAGAAACATCAATTTTTAGTATAGTGTAATAAAGAGTATCGACTTTGGTGTCAAACTGGCTGGGTTCAAATCCCAGGTCCATCGTTTACTAACTGTGTAACCTTGGGCAAGTAATGAAACCTCTATGTGTTTCAGCTCCCTCACATGTAAAATAAGGACAACAGATTGCTGTGAGAATTTGACGAGTTGATACTTAGAATACAGGCTGCCACACAGAGTTAACTATTAAGTTACAGCAAACCACCACCGAAGCATGGGCAAGGTCCACACCAAATTTAAACTCTAAAGTAGTAATGGCCATAAAGTCCATCGTGTGACTGCCATTTTGTAAGAGAAATCTGAAAATCTCAAACTTAAGTCTCCTCTCCTCTTTTTTTAAAAGATCCAGGATGCCTTTTTCATACACTGCTATTTGCAAACAATAAGCAATCACAACTGACACAATTACTTTGGGACAGTTACTTAAAAATTGGATCCCAGAAGTAAGGAGGAAAGTTCTCCTTTTATAGATAGCGAATAAATATCAAATGAACAAACAAAAAATCCAAAGTGAGGAAATTACACCTGAAAATGAATGCACTTGAAATTTTTATTAAAGTTTTTTGAACTTCAGTTTTACCTGGACACAGTGCAGTCAAAATCTTGACCTTCATATAATGAGTCAAGGAAACAATTGGCACTTCCCAAGGTGGACAAAGAATGTTTTGCAATGTCAGCACTGTTCATCAATTTCACCATGGCTCGGGCATTTCCTCTGATATCATGTTTGAAGGACCTAAATTAAAAATACAGTCTCTGAAGTTTAAAAATTACTAGGTCATTTGCATTAATTATAATTAAAATCTGAATAATCCCTACTAGGATAATAAGCAACTCACGAAGCAATATTAACACCAGATTTTAGAATCTGGCTTCTAACCCTCCAAAATTTCTGAAGAAAATTCTCTATAATTATAAGAAGAGTCTCTCCAAGAAAAATCAATAACCAATATACTTAATACTCTGGCAATTCTGCATTCTGTACCCTTAGGAATAGAGTGTACTTTGAAGAAAGCGGAGTAGCTATCATTTTTCTTGCAGATAAAACAAATGGAGGTTGAAGGAGATTAATGTAACTGGGTAAAGTCTCATATTTCACCCTTCACAATTGCAACCCAGTCACTGTTTAATGGTGTAAAATTATCTGTCCAGCATTAAAAAAAGTGCTTCTTCAAAGATATTTGACACATACATAATGTGTAAAATTATAGTTCCTCTACCTCCACGATGAATGAATAACACTGCTTTATAAGCAGTGGTCAATGGCCTTGTTTCTAAATATGTCTCATAAATTGGAATTGTGAATAAAATTAACAACACTTCACCTTGAATTGGAACACCTTCATAACAAAAAGTGGTATAGAGCTTTATTTAACAAATGAGAATTACCACTTTTTCAAGACTTTTTTACCCAGTTTAGCCAAACTGATGAAAACATTGTTTCAGCTACATTTTTTTAAAGCCATAGTGTCCAAAATATAATCTTTATATATTATATTTGGCTCCTGATATGCCACATAAAATTAAAATTTTAAATGGAATAATTACATCCAGTAACAAAACTAAAATATTCCTTGTGGTAGTGGATTAGTAATTAAATAAACACTCCATTCATTCCCTGGAATGTGATAGAATGTGACTATAAACAAGGTAATCTTCAGATCTAAACGTAAAAACTGTTCAGAAGGCAGTGAAGCCTCAGTGCCTGTACTTTTTCCCTTCAGCAAGACATAAGTACAGCACATGAAGAATTAAGAAATTGAACTTAAGATCCAACTTCACACAGTTCAGTGTCTGGTAATCCCTTAAACTAAGTAAAAAATCCACACCCACTACACTGGGCAGCTTGGTCACTACTCCCCCATGTCTGCCTGGATAGACATTATTAACTCTAGACACAAAAATATCCAGTACATTGGTAAAAACACATCCTCCTTCTAAGCAGAACAACTCCAAATAAGTTGGGGGGGGGGGGGGAAACTAAAGGGAAACATCAATCAAAATATATCATGAAATCCATTAATACTTACCTCTGAAACTCAGAAGCTAGATGCTGTGCTAAGGTTTCTGTAAAATGTGTACCTCCAATGTTATAATCAGTGTTTGTTGAAAGAACGCGATATATTCCACTGTTAACTTCCATGACACTGACAGATAATGATGTTCCTCCTAGTTTGAACACCAAAATATTGCTTAAAAAAAGAGATAACATGAGTGAGTTACGAGAGAATCAACATTTTAAAGCTAGGGTGGACTTTTTACACTAAGGAGTCACTTATTTCAATCCCTTTAAATCAGAAATGAGGAAACCAAAAATCTCACACGAGTAACTGAGTTGCACATGGTCATCACTTAGTGATGAATCAAGCCTAGAAACCAGATCTCTTGATTTTAAGTTAGTTATCTTGTGCTTAGTTGTGCTGGTAAAATTGCATTCTTCTGAGTAACTGGAGTTCAAAACGCCAACCTTTTTTTTAAAAAACAAAGGTTTTATTTATTTATTTTTAGAGAAAGGGGAAAGGAGGGAGAGAAGGAGGGAAACACCAATGTGTAGTTGCCTCTTGAGCGCCCCCTTCTGGGGACCTGGCCCACAACCCAAGCATGTGTCCTGACTGGGAATTGTACCAGTGTCCCTTTGGTTTGCAGGCTGGCACTCAATCCACTGAGCCATACCAGGCAGGGCCCAAACACCAACTTTTCAAATACAGAAAAGATTTGTGATTATAGTGAATTGTGATTGTAAGAGAATTAAATACAGAAATTTTGTGTTATTATTATCCAAGTTACTACTGCAATAACATACTCTATAAAAATGAAACATAAGCAAAACTAGGAGCTAACTTCCTATGTATCAAAATTCATAATTTCTGATATTTCATATCTACCTAAAAAAAATTTCTTGTGATTTATACATTTTTACTCAAGGTGTGAAATATGAATAAGGTGAAACAATTTGGGGAAATTAACACATCTGAATTAATTTCTCTAAAGTTGCATGGTTTGTCAGATCTATAAATTTGCCCTGACATGTGTGGAGGCTCAGTTGGTTGGGTGTCTTCCCCCAAAGCAAAAGTTTGCCAGTTCCATTCCCAGCAAGGGTACATGCCTGGGTTGTGGTTCAATCCCAAAATGGGGTTTGTGTGAGAGGCAAACAAACGATATTTCTCCCTCATACTGATGTTTCTCTCCCTCTCTTTTTCCCTCCCTTCCCCTCTCTCTAAAAATAAATAAATAAGATCTTAAACAAATAAGACAACTTTAACAACTAAATTAGGAGTATGTATTACTATTTCATAGTCAAAAGAATTCTTAAATCCCCATGCTGGATTTCTTGCCATCTCTGGCCAAGATGAATGTATATAAAACTACTCACTGGTTATAAACACATTTAATAATTGAAATTGGTAGTAAAATTAAGTGTCCTAGCTTGGGTTGGAACATGGCCAGGATTACAAATTTCAAATCTCTCTCCATTAAAGGGACAAAATGTGGTGACAAGAGGAGGGCAGGGAAGCCCAACCTTTCATTCTGCTATGCCCTTTCTCTGCTTTCCTAGGACATCATGCTCACCTATTGAAAAAACTCTAGAGGAGAGTTTTGATGCTTTTTCATTCACAAAGACTTGTAACCACTGCATTTTATAATCACCTCTACTGATATAATTGTTATAATCTATAATATTTTCTGCACTGAAAACTTAAAGCTGCAAATATGGTTTTTACCTTTTTCCAGTGGGGGAGTCTTGTCCAATTCCATAAGCCAAGAGAGCTGCAGATGGTTCATGGATTAACCGCAAAACATTAAAGCCAGCGGCTCTGGCTGCTTCCCTGTGGACAATTTGCTTTCAATGAATTTAATATCATATGTTCAAGTTTACATTTTAGAAAAGATTGCTAAAGATTTTATGCAATAGCAAATAAGATTTAGTAATTAGAACATGAACAGTAATGATTTTTATAAGATACAGAACACAAGAAACAGATGTAACTCTGTAAGAGTAGATCATTTTCCATTTAAAACAATAATGTTCCGAGTCTAATTTCTTAACAAAGAAAAAAACATGTGCTTATATTGAGCAAGGAAAATAAAGCTTTCAAAAATGCCCATGCTTACAAACTTTAGATCTAAGGTGAAAAAATACTTACAAATATATTCTAAAATTGCGTATTTTTATATAATTTCAGCATAAACCCTAATTACCTAAAACTAAGGCAAAGTGACTCATAAACATCAACTTAACCTGATAATTAAATACATTTTCAATCAAAACAGTTAAAAGGGTACATCTAACTTTATGTTGTCTTGCCATTTCATCAAAGATAGAAAATAGTGATCATTAACATACTTTTACCATACTATTTACCTATATACACATATTTACAAATATATTTTTATTGCCCAAGGTATTTTCAAATGCGATTTATTTTTTACTATATGATAATATTGTGAAATATGTATTTCCTTTAACTAAGCAAATAAGATAAATCCCATATTATACTTACCCAAGAGCATTTTTTTGCTTTTCTCCAAAATCGAATGGAACAGTAATGACCACATCATTTGCATCTGAGCCCAAGACAGAATGTGCTGTTTCTGTACATTAAAAATAAAATAAAAATAAATTCTGATGGACACAAAAATATGTCAAGTGATACTTGAGTTTATCAATTTGTAGCAAAGATCTTCTAACTACAAAGATTTGCCAGTCCACTTGTTTGTCCCATCCTGTTGATTTTCTACTCTTGTTCTCTTAAACCATGCACTACTTTTTGTAGTTTTAGTATAGTTTGTGGACATAGAACTATGTACTATGCCCTAGTTCTAAGTGCCCAGCTTTTAAGCTTCAAAGTTTCAACCATCTCCCAAATTAGACTCATTTCACTGAGAATGAGTTTCTAATGTGTCAATGTAAAGACAAATAGCACAATGTCAGTACAACACATTAAAGGGCTGCCTTACATCCCATGCGTTCGTGACATAATCCTAGAGCTGACGTGAGCTTTATCAATAACCTGCTCCAAAATTTCCTAAATTGTTCCAAAGAACATAACTTAGCTCCAGCCCTTGTCTGAAGTGGTGACGAAACCAGACCTATGTAACCTGTCTAAATATTGAGAGTATACTGTCGATCTTAAAGAGGGAGACAGATACTCACTCTTTATTGCATTTATTTAGCCGCTTCATCTTGAGAAGTTTTAAAAATGTTAATCTGGCCCAAACCATTTTTACATTACTTCTAGGGAAACCAAAGTCAGGGAGTTAAGTCATTTAACCACGGTCATGTAGAAGTAGTGGCCCAGTCAGATACAGAGTTCAGGTGTCCTTACTGCTAATCTGTTCAATCATCTGCTTCTCCCCAGGTCAAAAAATATATCTAACTTTTTAAGGTCAATTTTTAAAAGATTTTCTCTTCGGCTCAATACCTTTCATTTTACTAAATATCAGTCTGGCAACATCTTCTGGATTAACAAATTTGGTTTCCTCTCCAGTATCTATTTTATATCGTAATTTCCCATTTTTTTCAATGACCTAAAAGAAAATTATAAGTGTGTTAAATAAGGAATAATTTTAATAAAAATACAAAGCTACAAACCCATATTATAGGTAAGTACCTTAGTAATTACTTTGTGTAATAGGGAATAATAGAACCATACTCACTAAACATCTACTTTCTGTGATGTATTTCTGAGCCTGCGGGTCATCAGAGCTGTCCATAAAGATAAAGATAGTTATGTATTAAAATCAGTACCATTCATATATAAGGCTTAAAGAACACTGTATTTTTCAATAGGACTGAACAAATATAAAAAATAAACAAAATTAAGCTGCTTAATATTAAAAAAACTTCAAGTATTACACTGATTACATGAATGGATATTTACAATGGTTATAGTAATTCTATTAAAGTATTAATCTTTGCATTTGAAAATAGCTTTTACTTGTTCTGCTCTTGCTGATATTAAGATGCTATACATTTGGTGGTGAATTTTCATATCAATGATTTTGTTACATACTTCCACATCTATAATCTCAAAACACAACCACTGGGATACGAAGGGCAAACCAGCTGGCCTAACACCATCTTTGTTGTTTGGTCTGTGAATTAACATCCAAAATCAAGAATGAGCAAAAGTACTAATGTTATATACGAAAAGGTGCCGAGTATTACAGGTAGATGGATCTACAATGTACTATATAAAGTGGGTACTACATAAATGTGCATGGCAATGAAAAAACTACTGGGTGTTACATTGTTCAAAATAGTAATACCAGTTTATGTAGACTATAAAATGTTTTCACATGTATTACCTCACATGATCTTCACAATAACTAATGGGGTTAATTTGGCAGGTATTAATTCAGAGGTAACAGGTTCACAGAGGATTAATGACTTAGCTAATAAGGGGCAGAGTCAGTATTTGATCCCAAATCTTCTCTATCAGGGTATAGTTGTCCACACTTTACCCAATTGCCTGGCAGTAAAAAGGTACATGATTCAAGTACTTCTGTCCCTTGAGCAGAAATAGGAGTCTTTGATCCTTGATTTAATTTCATCTAGAAATTAAGTAGTAAATCCTTCCTTCAAACTATTCTTCCAGGGGGCTGTGGCTATTCTGTTCAGAGGCCAGTGTTAAATGTTTAATAAGTGAAAATTAAGTGGCTAATTGCTGAAGGGTCACTGAACATCTGATGACCCTAACCTGTATAAATACGACTCAAGGGGCTGAAAATTGACAAATTTGGCTTAGAACTCTGTCTGAATATTTGTATATTCTTCATACTTCCTCCTCTATCATCTAAAAATTGGTAGAGAAGGAACAGGTTTTAAGAGTGAGAAAAAAAGATGAAGTATGCCCATAGTGATTTTTTTTGTACCAGTGTTATAATCTGTGCACATTTACCAGTTGTTTTTTTTTTTAGTACAGAATTTAAGTCAACCAGGATAATTTATCCTATTATGTGTAGGCTATCTACTACTCAGACAAGATATTTGCTGGGAAATAATAGTTTATGGAATACACAGAACTGTTAGAAATGGAAAATTATTTCTCAACTGCTATGCAAAGAGGGCCTCGCTTATGTGAGGACAGAAAGCACACACAGTTCTCAGGGACATGTAGAGGCAAGACCCTGAAGATAAGCCAGCAGAAAAACAGAAAGCGGAGAATGCAGGTGACGGCAAATGATCACAGATAGTGCCAGAAAAGTAGTGAAGTGACCCACAACTACATACAAGTAAAAACTTTATTTGTCCACACCAGGATTATGTAACAGAAAAGCAAAGGGTGGTGGGAGATTGGTACACACAGCACCTCATTTACATCACCATCTTTAGGAGGCAGAGTGTTAATCCTACCATTGTATCACAACCTTTACCAGCAATACCACTTTCTCTTCCTCTTGTCTTTGCACAGTCAGCAGGCCCTTGGACCTGGCACACACCAGCACTAACGTGCTACAGGGTTTTCTTTCCCACTACTGTCACAGTTTGGTGCCTTCTATGTGCGTAAGAGTATTTTTACATTCACTTGTTTATTTGATGCTCACAACATTCCAGTGAGGTAGGTAGGACAGTTATTAATTTCCCACTTTATCAGTGAGAATCCTGAGTTACGGAATGGTGAAATGACCCACCTAAGGATGGACAAGTAGTAATGGTTGGGCCTAGAGCTTAGGCAGGATTTCTGAGCTTGTTTTTCAATATAATGTTCCCTTATTACAACCTTCTTCCTCTTAACAATATTTTCCCCTTTTCTCTTTACTTCTTTAAGCCTTTCCCTTTAGTTTTATTTCCACATTAAGGCTACTTCACCCATTACTTTTCATAGTACTACCTCCAAAGTTTAACTCCACTTCTGTACTTCAGTACTTCTATTATCTGAAATAAATCCTTGCTTATGTGTTTTGCTACCATTAATAGATTTATATAGTAAAGGCCTAATTGTTCACCAAATACTTCCTTGTTTTTTCAAAAAAGTCTACCTACCTACATTAGTGTTACCTAGTTTTAACTGACACCTAACCCTCCATATAATGGAGTATTCAAATGATTTGCCAATGTAACTGTGACAGGGTTAGAACCTATGAGTTCTAACTAGATTCCAGTGTATGCTACCATACCAGCTGTCTCCTACGTCCATCACCCACTCATCAGAGCAGCTCACTTGCTTGCCATCATGATTTAGGTATGTTCCCACTGTTTTCTGGACTGTTTCTTCAGCTATTTGTATTTCTAGCATTAAGTATCACAGCCTGCAAAATATAAAGCCTCTCCCAACATGCTCAGACATGTTTCCAGCCTCTAGAATGAAGAAAAACTTTTTAAATTGGAAATATGGCTTAACACTTTTCTACATCCCAAAGGGTATGTTTTTGGCAAAAATGAAATGTATTTGTTGAGCTTGTGCCTAAAAGGAGTTATCTGTTGCAGGTGGTCTTTATTTACACCACCTTCAACTGTTCCCAAGGTTGTTCTCTTCCACTGTACGCCACTAACTAGGTGATTTTTCATCTACACCATGTGAGAAAAATGACTTTGGAAAGTTCCCTAGAAGGGAAGTTTTCTAGGGATTTCCTTCTGCAACACGAGAAACAAGACTAACAGAAAAGAATGAAATTAGCTATAAGAACTTGGGAAACTGATATAATTCAAATTCTTTCCATGATATTGAAATAGCAACCCAAACTTAAAGATATATAATTGTGCATGTAAGGGCCCCAAATAATATGGAATGCAAAGAATTTACTTAGATTTAGTATTTTATAAAACAGCCAATATCTCATTGTATCAGATTATCAATATGAACCATAACACATGATTGGGGCTCCCTGTCAGTTCTTAATTGTATCCTTATAGAGATGAAGAACTATGAAAATGGAGGGAAAGATGGCATGACTACTGAGCGCTTATTAGTAGGTATGTCATATGTCACAGACACAGCAGTGAAAATAACAGAAAGATACAAATACATGTTGTGTCTATAGCAGTCTTGAACTATAGAGGGTTTTTAAAAAATAAAGACTTCAAATTCCAGAAAACAGGTTAAACATATATTCAAGCAATGAGGTCATGGTATACAACCATAATTCTATATCTTGTTAACTACTGTGCCTCACTCTTGCCTTACCTTGGCCAAGGTCATATACATTAATAACTTATATGTGTATAGTGCTTTCAAACTTTTAAACCCTTTCAACTCTATTAGCCATTTGATCCTCACAACAACCCTGTGAGGTAGGCATGTCAAGAATTGTTAGCTAGGTCCCATTTTACTGAAGAAACTGGTCTAGAAAGGTAAACTAAATTCCCTCACATCAGTGACAAAGCCAGGGCTAACTAGCTTTTTGGACTTGGCTCCATCCGTTTTCCATTAGGCCACCTCTCACATACCCAAAGTCTTCCAATTAGTGGAGAAGTTTGGGAAAAGCAACTAGCACGTATATTCCTACTCTTCTGCATATTTATGGCTCATCTACTCTTTTTTCCGAGGATATGGAAAAGGAGCCAGGGTACCAAAAGGCAAGTGTTTAGGATATACACCCTTTTATAATCAGTTCCTAACTTTTGGTATTTGAAATTAACCTCTGAAGCAATTTTTCAAGCCCTAGCTGAAAAGCACCGGTTGCCTCTTCCACTGCTGTCGCCAAGCGTCTGACTGCGATCACGGCATCCCTGCGGAGCTCGTTGGCCGCGTCTTGCTGGGCACTGGCTTCCTCACCAATAGCAATCAGCCTGTCCAATTTTTCTTCCTCACGCTTTGAGAGTTCTCGTGCCAATCTCCTGTTTTCTGCCAATTCAGCTGCAATAGTCCTGGCCACTGACCGCCTTCTTCGCCTTGCCCACTTTGGAGGAGGCTCACTGGTCAAAGGCCTATCCCCACCAGAAACAAAAGGAACTCCGGAGGAGGAGATTGGAGGCTGCTGTGTGGAGGCCACCCCAGGAGTGTTTCGGCTGGTGCTGGTGCAGGGACTGGGCTCACCGGACACACCCAGTCTGGTCATGGGGCTGCTCTGACAGGGAGCAACTGCACCTCTGAAAAGGTGGTGGGAACTGCTGTAGCTGGGGGTCCCTTGAGAGCACCCTGAAAAACAAAGCAACAATGTTGCAGAGAGGACATTCCTGCTAATGGAATGCATGGAGCCAGCAGCAGAGTTGAGAGACAATTACAAACTGTGGTCATTCCTGAAAGGCCTTTCCACAAGGGACTGGGAAGAATTCATTTCCTTAGTCTGGACATTTTAGTTTGTTGTAGTCTTACCTCCAACACCTCCCCCTTACCTCCCTGAGCCCCTTTCCACTTAGCTATCCAACCCACTCTATATCCACAAATGCCTAATTAGCCATTATAAATAATTCCAAAATAGTTTGGTTCTAAAGAGTACTTCTACATTTAAAGAGTTCTAATATTTTACATACCTAGCATCATAGCTTTTAAATATCTGGAGCCCCTTATCTTACTGTTAGGTTTAAAAAAGAGGGAAATGGGTAAAAAAAATAGGGACGATGCTGAAAGGAACACCATCCAAACATATATTGCTGTTTAGAACCAAGTGACTCTGGGACCCCAATCCTTCACATTTGGGAATTACCTGCGCCTGAGGATTCATCCCAGGAGTCCTCAAGGTCACTGGTTTCTTGCATCTGGTCACTGATTCTCAGTTGACAATCCTCATCTGATTCCTTAACTGTTTTCGAGATAGGCTGATGATCTGCTGCCTGAGTGCTTTTTGCTCTCAGAATGCTGGTTCCCTCTTCCCCTGGGGTGTCAGAGACCCCTAAGTTCTGATCATAGTGTTTGGCCCAAGAAGCATCCTCCATTAAGTTGTCTGGGTTAGTCACTACCTGATTTCGGAGAAGCTGATCCAATGTGTCATAAAATGGACAGTGTGGTGGGTCACCCACACTTGTGGTATGGGCAACATATGCCTTTAAATATAATGCCTTCAGAACTTTAAACTTGGAGCGGCACTGACGTTCCGTGCGGCGGAAGCCTTCCTGCTGCATTCGCTTAGACACAGCCTGATAGACATCTGCATTGTGATGCACAGTCTGGAGGCGTTGAATATACTCTGCCTCGCCAAGTATGGAGAGAAGAGTCCGTGTCTCCTGTCTGGACCATCGGATGCCCGCACTGCTATTGGAACTGGCCATAGTGGACTGGGAAGGCTAGCTGAAGAAAGCTCCTGGGCAGCAAGGCGCCAAATCTGAAGGTGTGGGTAAACTCTGGGTGCTTTCAGTCTATTTCCAGGAGACAGCAGATTCTTCCCTCTCAGGGCTAATTGCTGAGAAGCCAGGTCCAAGGACCAAATTTCTGGCTGGAAAGCCACAGGGGAACGAGAGTTACAGTAAGGATAATTGCGGCAGCAAGTTAAGCAATGCTACCTGTAAGTAGGTCGCAAACAAGCAGGATGCCAAGATTGAGAAAGCCCAACTCTGGGAGTTCATCCAGGATGGACACTGGACCAGGGACTAAAAAGGGGCTTTACTGGCTTGATAAACAAGGGGACTGGCTCTTCCACGAAGGACAGAATGCTTCCAAGGCTGAAACCTGGTACAACTGAGTGTCTGTAAAAATCACCATTGTCTTGTAAGTAGACAGACGGAGATGGGAACACCTGGAGCATGAGGCAGCTTACTCTGGAGAAGTGCTAGCAGAACCATGGTGTAGCAGTTTGTTTGAGGGGTGCTCATCCTTCACTAATCTTGGCCTAAGCAGCATGCTGTGGCTATGTATTACTACCCATCTGACTGTCACCATTGCACTCCTTCATTAAAACATAACTTTTAGAGCCAGAAGTTATTCCTATTAATACAATACTTTTTGTGTAATATACCAGAAGACAACAACATCACTATTCCAACTGTCTACCCCAAAACAGCAGCATAAAACAAAGAGGGCTACCAGGGGATATAGATCTATGGACATGTTCTAGATCTTGATTGGATCAATGTATCTGCTTATGATACTACACTACATTTTGCAAGATGTTATCATTGGAGAAAGTGGTAAATCCAGTAATACATATGATCTCTTTGTATTATTTCTTACAACAGTATGTACAATTACTCAAAAAATTCAATTAAAAAAATCATATTGTCAGCTGCTTACAGTGAATTTAGCTTCAACATCTGTAACTCATTGCTTTTTTATTTACAATTTGAATATCTCTGACACCAACTAATTTGTCTTCATCGTCACAAAAATTTGAATTCACTCTGAAATACTATAGTTTTTGGCTTACTGCATAGATATCCTAAGGGAAAAAAAGTGTAAAGTTCAGTTTAACTACATGCAGGTAAGGAATAATAAAAATACCTTATATATAAAAAATATTAAATTTAATCTATAATCCCAAAATTCTAACATCAACATAAGGAGACTTCTATTTACATTCTCAACTGAACAACATAGAAAGGAAACAATCTGGGCTAAGGGTTATAAGTCCTGAACTGCAGTCCGATCTAGTTCACCCCTCTAATTAATTTAGGGTACCTTGATTTTCTCATCTGTAGACGGGGAAGGATTAAAACCTACCTTACCAGTCTTATAGGGATTTGAGAGGATTAAATAAAATAATAGATGTGAAAACACTCTGAAAACTTAAAAACACTATATCAAGTATTACTAGTCCAGTGAAACTGAAACCCCCCTAATTATAGTGGGAATCTATAATTTGAGGAGACATGAGTCTGGGGAAGCAAGCCTCTTTAATCTCTTTAATTAAAGTTATAACATGATTAACCTGATTCTTACTCAAAACATTAATTAAGCTATTTCTCTAGTGATTAAATTTGTAAGCCACTGGAAAAGCTAGTTCCCTCAAAGTGTCACAAAAGGACCCAAGGAAGAAAACCCATAGTGTCTACAGAAATTATGAACAAATATAGCAGATTTAGCAAAACTCAACTACAAGGCAATGAAGTCGTCAAATTCCCACAAAATCTTTCAAGTTCCCTCAGTTAAAAAATATAAAGTAAAAAGTCCAAATCACCACCTCTGAATGACACAAACTGTCAGAACTAAAGGAATGTTGGCATTTGCCAATACGACCTGTCAGCAAGTCTGAGTGAATCCCATCCTTGAGAAGACTCAATACTAATCATCAAAAGAAACAGCCTACTGAGGTACTCTCTGAAATGACTCAGCTGTAAAAAGCAACAACAAAAAAAAATGGTGTTTCTAGCTTCATTCCACATTATGTTTAAAATGTATAAACACATTTTTATTACCATATGTAAAAGTAATATTTTACTCCATACCTTCTGCCAAGAATCTGCTTTACTTTCATTACTGTATTTGAAATATTTCTTATTCTACTTTGCTTTGCTGCCAATCCAACAACCTGAAAAAGAGTAATATATTACAATGCATGTAATTTTTACTTATTTCAAGGCACAAAAATGCAGGGGAATAGTACCTCTTCATTTTCTGAGTAAGCAACAACAGCTGGAGTAACTCTGTCTCCTGCATCATTTGCAACAACATCAGCCCGGCCATCCTGGAGAAAAACACACAACTGTATTAGTTCTTCTGAATGAAATATATAGCTCATTAGGCATATTCAGACATATTCTGCCAGTGTTACTGTGCCATATATGTGGAAAGAAAACTTGCTCTATGAAAACTTTTTTAAACTTGTAGATTTAATTGCCACTATTATTTTCCTGGACTTATTATACAAGGCCAACATTCCATGAAGAACTGCCACATCTTTTTTGTCTTCTCTGCATAGTCAAGAATTGGAACATAGTAACAACCTATCTTTATCCAAAAATAAGTCTTATTACACCACCCTTTCTACTTCTCTTCCTTTCTCTACAAATACATTTTTATTCCCCTTTCTGCAAAAGATGAAGTGGCACTAATCCCTTTGCCTTTTCCTTACAAATCATTTGACATTTAAACGTGAGTGTCAAAGAAGTGCAGTATTATTGTTCCTCCGATCTCCCCACTGAGAGGAAGGCCACTACTCTCCAAAGCAGAAAGACCAAAGTCAGCGCAGACGACGCACCATCAACTCGCTTCACATGCTGCACGGGATCAACAGCTCTAGTTCCAGATCACGGCCACCTCACCCTTTCCCGGCAAACCTCCTGAAACCTCCAGGCTTCCTGCGGCCACTACACCCGAGACCCACAGGGTTTTCTGCAGCCTTGACGTCCCCAGGCCCGCCCCAACCCCGGGGCCTCCCGCGCCTACGACGTCCCGGGGACCTCTCCCCTCCGGGACTCATGGAACCACGGCGGCGTCCCTGAGACCCTTCTAGACCTCATGGAACCCAGGTCGTCCCCAAGACCGCTCTGAGTCTCCTGTGGCCTTGACGTTCCCGGGACCGCCCCCTTCCGGGCCTCGTGGAAACCACGGGGTCCCCGAGACAGCTTCGGGCCTCCTTCGGACCCTGCGCGCCAGCGTCTCCATGACCCTCCGCCAAAGCGCAGATGGCTTTCCGGGGGTTGCAGGGGAGGAGGTCGGGTCCGCCCGGCCCTTGGCCTCGAAACTTCCCCGCAGTAGCGTTTCTCTGCGCTACCTTCCTAGGCCGGTGACATGCCTTTCACAACGCCACAGGTAACCAAAGGACCTGCCTCGCACTCAGAGAACGGGGTGGCTGACATTAGGCCCCTAGCCCAGCCCCTCATTCCCTCACCTTATAGACGGCCACACAGGCTGATGTGCAACCCAGGTGAACTCCGATGGCCGCCATGAGGCGGCAGAGACGGTAGCAGCTGTAAAGAGTGTTCGCCGGCTAGCTACAAGTCTCCAGCTCCCTACAGCCCCATAAGGCACCGCGGAGACTTCACGTTCCCGCCCGCCCACTGCGTCCGGTCCAAACGCCGCGGCCTCCCGCGTCGTCGCCAATCAGCGGGAAGGTCCCGCCTCTCACAGGGCAATTAACGAATAGCTTTAGTGCCTCTCACTCCGCCCCGCTGAAAAAGGCGCTGCGTGTACTGTAGGGCGCATGCGCCAGTAGGGGTGGGGGTGGGGGCGGGGGAGAACAATTAAAAAAAAAAAGGAGTGCTCTTCTCGGCCCCGCCCGGTTCTTTGCTCGTTTGATGAGACCCAATACTAACTGTGGGTTGAGTTGCGTCATTTTCCCTAGCAACTCCGGGTTTGCTCCGCTTCCCAGAGTACCGTAGCAGTTTCCGGCGATAGCGTCTAAACTGGCGTTGGGTGCAGGTGTCTGAGGAGTTTTGAGCTGCTGTTTCAGGATGTGGTGCGCGAGCCCAGCCGCAATGGTGGCCTTTTGCGCCTGGCTTTGGGTCTCTAACCTGGTGCCGACGCAGGGCCAGGAAACCGCGGGGCGCTCGGGGGCCGACTGTGAAGGTGAGCGGTGTGAAACCTGCTTGCATGGCGGTGGCACCGCGCTGTAGCTCAGCTGTTGTCGGCTTTGATTTTCTTCAGGTCTTGGCTATAAATAATATTTCACTCTGAAAAAGCGAGCCCTTTCTCTAGTTTCCTATTGCCTAAGCCCGAGTCTGGGCGAAAGTTCGAGCTGGGCCTCAAGACACCCCGAGGCGCGTCTTGGTCTGCCGGTGACGGTTAAACTGCGTTGTCTAGGCTGGTGGGGGTTTTGATCTGGATTCGATTTTGTGCAAACGCGTCTAGATTCAGACGACCCTAGCGCCGAATTGATTCAGCTTCTACTAACCGGCAAGATTTCCACAGGAGATGTCTTTTAAGTTAAATCAGTTTGCAACTCCCCAAAGGAAAATAAAACCTGACACGTTGCCTGTAATTGAGTTGAGGTGGCTTTAACTAAGGACTGAGGATATAACTAGCGTTTGTTATGACTACAGGGAAAAGTTGATTTACAAAGGAGGACAATAACTCTTAAGAAATACAGAAGAATGGTTCCTTTGAAGTACACGGAATCTCAGCTGTGGATTGAAATCAGAACACATGCTCTCTGGCTCTGGCAGACTTACCTGTTTTTGGCAAAATCAGCGTGGTAATACTTCCTTCTGAAGGCTGTTAACATCAAAGATAATTAAGTCCACTAGCTTCATCCTTTTGCACTACAGTAGCACTTAACCTGCATTGAAATAATTTAAATGCATATCCTCTTCTGTAAGCCTGCAATCATTACTTAACAGGAAATTGTAAATTCACAGTATGTGTTGAATGAATGGGTGTGTTACAGCTAAGCTGCGGAATACAAGTCCAGTTTTCTGTCAGCCCTGCAATATTTAAACTTTTCTCCAGAAATTAAGAATATCTATATGATGCGACTTTGGAAAACTTTATATTGATATTTGCTGAGTTAAGTTACAATTTTGTTTAAAGATCGCTTACAATTGTGTTGTATACATTCCAAGCCAAATTTTTGAGGCATAAACAATTGATTAGTTACCAAGAATTTATTTTCTGGAGCTTCTACTTAAAAACATTTCAGAAGAGCCAGAGTATCTGGATTAATAAATGTGAAGCTTATGCCATCTATTCTTAATTTAATATGCATATTGTGTTTATTAACTTGTATGTCTGACTAACCTGGGTATATATTTCCTTTGTTAGATAAAGAAGATATAGATTTACAGCAAAAGAAACACTAGTTTTAGAACAAGAAGAACTAGATTGTAGATCTGGTTCTCTTACTGCATATCAGACTATCATTAGCCACTTAATTTCCTTCAAGATATAAGATTAAAATGCTATTTTATACATAATTTAAGGCAAAGGTAAGAAACTGATAGTCCAGGAGACACCTGGTACCTACTGAAATATTAAGTTCACAAAGCATTTTGAAATACATTTAAATCAATTGGCTACTTTTAAAATTGAAAGATTTCTGCCTTTTCTTAAAATACCAGGTGACCTGTTAAGACTAGTCCACATGTCCATGTAGTGGGAATTGGCTGTGGCTGCTTCTTTTAGAAAGAACATGTGTCCTCAGAATTTTGTTTCTGTCTTTCCTACACTGGGATTTCCTCACCCATGCATCTATTTGCTTGGCCCCTGTGAATATTTAAGTTTCTGAGTCCTGCTTTAGGTGATGTGAGGCTTACTGAAAAAAAAACAACAAAAAACAAAAAAAAAAACCAAAACCAAAACCAAAAACAACAACAAAAAACAACAACTGTAAACATTTCCAGGTCTTTAAAGGTATTGTATTATGAGATTATTTTTTAAACTTTTTATTTTGAAATGATTATAGATTTGCTTGGGACTTTTAAATTTCATTTTATTAAAAATTATTGTATTGTACCCTGGCTGGTGTAGCTCAGTGGATTGAGCGTGGGCTGTGAACCAAAGTGTCACAGGTTCGATTCCCAGTCAGGGCACATTCCTGGGTTGCAGGCCACGGCCCTCAGCAACCACACATTGATGTTTCTCTCTCTCTCTTTCTCCTTTCCTTCCCTCTCTAAAAATAAAATAAATAAAATCTTTAAAAAAATTATTGTATTGTTGACACCATTACAGATGTCCCGATTTTCTCCCTTTGCCCCTCTCTACCCAGCTCCCACTTCATCTTCACTACATTGTTGTCTGCGACCATGGAGTATGTATATATGCACATATGTTCTTTGGCTAATCTTTTCCTGTCTCTGCCCCCCCCCCCCGCCACCTCCCTCCCTTCTGAGATCTGTCTGTTCCATGTATCCATGCCTCTGGTTTTATTTTGTCAGTTTATTTTGTTCACTAGATCCTACATATGAGTGAGATCATGTGGTATTTGTCTTTCTCTGACTGTCTTATTTCACTTAACATATATTCTCCAGATCCATTCATGCTATTGCAAAGGGTAGAAGTTCCTTCTTTTTTACTGTCATATAGAATTCCATTGTGTAAATATACCACAGTTTTTTTATCTATTCATCTACTGATGGGCACTTGGGCTGTTTCCAGACCAGGGACTACTTTTAATAAACAAAAAAAGCCCACAACATAAATAAAAGGTGGATGGTTACTTGGTTATAGCAATAAATACATGCCAGGATCCTTAAATTACCAATTGTTAGTAATTGTTAGGTGATTTATGGTGAGATTATTCTCTTCATGTAAGCCAAGGAATAAATTTCTATTCTTATCTTGGCTTCTCTGTGGCATGGAATACCATTGACTTCTTTCTCTTCCAGAAACTTCCTTCTCTTGATAGCACTGATTTTGCTTTTTTCTTGCCTTTGCTTCCTGTCACTCTGTGCCCACTTGTTCATGGTATCTTTCTGATTCTGTAGCTATGGCTTCAGTATTAGACTTTTCTGGAGTTCTGTCCTCTGCCCTCCTCTCTTCTCAGCCTACACACTCTTCTGTCCAATCAGAGTCTAGCTAACTAGAGCCTGATTCATTTCAAATGTTTATATCTAATCTGCTTCCTTTCCGGAGTCCAAGATTTTGCACCCAATTGACGACTGAACATCCTCACTTAGATCCCTTATACCCCAAACTCAGCCGAGTCACAAACCAAAGCCATCAACTCCTCCCTTCTCAGGCCCCAAAACCTGGTAACTAGACCAGAATTCTCTTTCTCCCTGATCCCTTATACCCATCAGTGTCCATTGATTCTACTTTCTGGTTGACTCCCTTCTCCTTCCATTGTCTTGTTGCAGATGTTCACCATTTCTACCTTCCTCACCGCCACAGAAGCGTTCTTCCTGCCCCATTTCCATCTCCTCTTTAGTCTCCTGGCAGTGTTATCATATTACTCCCTTGTTTGACATCTTTCATTGGTCACACATTCCCCTGTCCCCTCAGGTCAGTGCCACCCCTTTGCTTTCTCCACAGTATCTAGTCTACCTCTCATGTTCAGTAATGGTTTTGGTCTCCTCCATGTGTGCACTCCTTGAAAGTCAAGACTGTTTTCTCGCACCATATCACCTCTGGGGCTACCACAATGCCAGGTGTAAGATAGGCACTTAATTTTGTTGAACAAATGTATGCATATATGTTGCAGCAAAATTTTATGTAACAGTGAGTGAGTCAAAGGTATATCTCTGGAAGTACAAGTTAGAATTCCCAACCCATCATCTAGGTAGTAGATCGGGAAAGCAACAGCTAAGGTCTAGAAATCATATGGACATGTATTATGGGAATAGTAGAAGAGCTAGGAGGCACTGGAACACTGGATTTCTTTTGCAGGAAAGTGTGAAGTAGGGGTCACTGAGAGACCCAAATGATAATTTCTGCTGAGTTTCAGCATTAATTATTACAGCAATATCTCCTTTGCATACTCGATATATTTGCTAATTTAACTCAGCAAACTAAATATTGGTAATGTCTCATTTTTCACATTCTGTCAGTATCATTTAACACAGCTGCTTAGTCAGTCCCCACTTTTTTTTTAATGCTTGCTTCATTATTTTCTGGGAATACACTCACTCTTCATTCTCATCCTACCTCAATGGCTGCTCCTTTAAGTCTTTTTCGAGTTCTTTCTCACATTACCAATTTCTAAACAATGGAGTTTTAATAAGACTGAGACCTGGGACCACTTTCTTCTCTATGTCTCCTTATTCCCTGATCTCATCTCTTAAATACTATTAAATATTGGCTTGGCCAAAAATTCAGGTTTCTTTTTTTTTAATAAAACTAAAATTTTTCATTTTCACCAATAACTTTATTGATTTGGATATTATGAGTATGTCGGCTGTCTCCTGCTATTGGCTTCCAGTGGATAGAGGCCAGGGGTTCTGCTAAACATCTTTTAATGCATAGGACAGCCCCAAAGTCAAGAATTATTTGGCCAAAATGTCAAGATAACCAAGAAACTTTGCAAGCCACTTTTGACACATTTGATCAGTCATAGCACCTTCCCCATATATACCATACATTGCACAAATCTGATTTTTGCATTTCAGTTGTGTTTTTACCTTTCTTGAAATAATAAAGCATAATATGCCAAAAGTGTTGCATATCTTCTTCCATCTTCAATATTAAAATGGCTGCACAAAAATTCACCAGTTTTCATAAGTTTTTTAAAAAAATGCATGCTGATATGATAGCTGTCACAATATAGTCTAACAAGATTGTTTTGAATGAAGTTAAAGACAAATAAGCACTACTAGAGTCATTATATGGAAAAAAACTAAATGAGCCCTGGCTAGTGTAGCTCAGTGAATTGAGCACAGGCCTGTGAACCAAAGCGTTGCTGGTTTGATCCCCAGTCAGGGCACATGCCCGGGTTGCAGGTCATGTCTCTAGTAGGGGGTACATGAGAGTGAACCACACATTGATTTTTCACTTCCCCTCTCTCCCCCTCCCCCTCTCTCTAAAAATAAATACATAAAATATTTTTTAAAAACAATGGAATTTTTGACTACCCCAATACTCTTTGAATGTTGATGTGCTACAAATTTAGGTAGATAGACCTCACCCCTAAATTCTAG